ATGAGGCAAATTATTAAAAGATTATTAAACAGAAAATAGGTGAATTTTGATGTTTCTATTGTATTTTATAGTTTTTCATTGTTAGAAGTTGTGTAATAAGACAATGCACCTGGGATAAAGGAAATATTTAAGTTTAATATTTGTCACAATTAAAAAAAAATCAAAAGTCTGGAGTACCCCTGCCCTTTATTGCTTCATGGTAATTTGCTTTTGTTTTCTGTTTTCTGCACAATCTAATCTGTTTGTGATGCTTTGAGTGAATTTTTGTTTGTTTGTTTCAGTGTCTTTCGTTTCTAGAAGTTCTGACTAGCTTCTTTTCAATATTGCTAATTCTTTATTGAAATAGTCTTTCAACAACTCAGTTTTCTCTCTTAATTCATCCTTAGGTCTTCTTTAACTTTATTGAACATTTTAATCGAAAGTATTTTTTAATAATTTTTCTCTGGAATTTCACCCACTTTTATATCAGTGGGATTCTTTGTTGGGGGAGTGTGAATTTGGGAGAAAGATTTGTTTCCTCATTTTCAGAGGTCTTTATCTTGCACATCAATTGAGATGGATTCCCCTTTCTGTTTTTTACCTATGCTCTTTTTGTGTGTAGTTATCTCCTTTGTTTTGGGATCTCTCTGTTTTTTTGATATATGAGTAGGTCCAGGAGTATGACCTGAGGTCCCCCCCCCTGGTTGATCCACCTTGGAGCCTGGTTGCTGGTTTGAGGTTTATGTCTCCTGAAGTCTATGTGTTGAAGTAATATTAAGGATGAGGTGGGGTTACAATAGGTGTTTAGTGAGATTCACTGTTACTGAGCTGTTGTGAGTATTGTTTGGGAGCAAGATGTCTGTGAACCTAAAGTGATCCATTCACTTTCCAACCACACTTTGAGGAAGTGGTGAGCCAGGAATAGCACTGTTGTTATCAACATATGTACAACCTTAAGTCAAATGTTCAAATCACTTATTAGACTGCAGGGGCCTACATTGCCAGCTGTGTTAATAGTCATTACAACCTGAATGAGGTACAATTTGCATAAACTGCATTATTCTTTATTTAATGAAATTACAATTTCTTATGTGCAGAGAAAATAATGTATAAAGGCAAGAGAAAGTTTTAAATGTTTTAAAAAGTGAAGACAGGAGAGGCAGAAGATATATCACAAATGTAGACTCTAAAGAAAGAGGAATAAAAATTTAAGTGTAAATAGTTTACAAATTAAAAAGAGGAAGAGGGAACTGGAAAATTGGACAGTTATTGGGAGAAAAGAGTGAAGAAGAGGCAATAAGAGGGACAAAAAATAAAGAAAAACAAGAAGAGACGGATGTAAGGTGCAGAGGCAAAGTAAAAGGGCTGTTTGTCTGAGCTACCAGATTTACTTATATCCAAAGATTTCTTTAGGTCATTGGCATCATTAGTACATATTGTTCATTGTATAAAGTTACTGTTATATGGGCAGGTTTAGGCACAGTGACACATTATTGTTGTCTCAAAGAGTTCCTTTATTCCCAGATCTTAGTGTCTGAGATTAAGCTCAAGGCTGATAAGATCCTAACACAGAGCCTCCTCACAAAGGACTTTGCCATAGCAGCCAGGCATTGAGCGTGTATTAATGCTCATTTGAAAACACCTTCACAGAGATACCCAGAAATTATGCTATTGGTTATCACTTAATCCAGTCAAGTGGAAGTCTAAAGTTAATTACATCTCCTTTGCACTTTTTTTTTTTTTTGAGAAGGGTGTTCTTATAAACAAGAGAGATAAATGAGACAAAGGAGAAGCTGAAAGCAGGCACAGAAGGTCCAAGACGTCGGTCAAAGGGAAAATCTCAGAGAATATTAAAAGTTGGTCCTAAGAGGAGAGAGATGGGCTCTAGGCTTCCAGACCATGTAGAGAGAGAGGGAGAGAATTTTTTGTGTTGCTCTTTGTGTTTCTTACTGATCTACCAGATGGAGTGCCCTAAAACTGAAGCTGTTGAGGTAGCCCTCAACTCCTTTTCACTTTTAAATTTCTTTGTAAATTACTTTAATGTTTTTATTAATTAATTAATTAATTTTAATTAGGTATATATGACCTCAGAATGCATTTTAATTTATTGTACACAATTGCTCCACGGCTTTTCATTTTTGTGGCTGTACATGATGAAGCATCATACCGTATGTACTGTCTTACATGTACCTAGGGTAATTATGTCCATCACATTCCACCATCTTTCCTGCCCCCATCCCCCCTCCAGACTCCTCCCTCCCCTTCGTCCCATCAAATTTCCTCCATTTTTCCCATTCCCCCCTCCCCGCCCCATTATGGATCAGCATCCAGTTATCAGCAAGAGCATTCGGCCTTTGGTTTTTGATTATAGCTTACTTTGCTTAGCATGATGTTCTCCAACTCCATCCATTTACCTGCAAATGTCATGATTTTATTCTCTTTTAATGCTGAGTAATATTCCATTGTGCATATATACCTCAGTTTCTTTATCCATTCATCTATTGAAGGACATCTAGGTTGCTTCTCTGGTTTAGCAACTCTGAATTGAGCTGCTGCAAACATTGGTGGAGCTGTGTTACTATAATATGCTGATTTTAAGCCCTTTGGGTGTAGACCAAGGAGTGGTATAAAAAGATCAAAAGGTGGTTCCATTTTAAGTTTTATTTTTTAAGGAATCTCCATTACTGCTTTCCAGATTGGTTGCATCAATTTGCAGTCCAACTAGAAATGTATGAGTGTGCCTTTTCCCCCGATCCTTGCCAACATTTATTGTTGTCTGTATTCTTGATAACTTCCATTCTGACTGACATGAGATGAAATCTTGGAGTAGTTTTGATTTGCATTTCTCTAATTACTAGAGATGTTGAACATTTTTTCATATATTTGTTGATCAAAAGTATATCTTCTTCTGAGAAGTGTGTGTCCAGCTTCTTAGTTCATTTATTTATTGGGGTGTTTGGCTTTTTGGTGTTAAGTTTTTTGAGTTCTTTATGTATCCTGGAGATTAGTGCTCTATCTGAGGTGCATGTGGCAAAATTTTTTTCCCAAAATGTAGGCTCTCTCGTCACTTCATTGATTGTTTCTTTTGCTGAGAAAAAGCTTTCTAGTTTGGGTTCATCCCATTTATTAATTCTTGATTTTTTTTTCTTGTGCTTTAGGAGTCTTGTTAATGAAGTCAGGGCCTAATCCAATGTGATAATGATTTGGGCCTACTTTTTCCTCTATTTCGCAAAGGGTCTCTGGTTTAATTCCTAGGTCTTTGATTCACTATGAGTTGAGTTTTGTGCATGGTGAGAGATAGGGGTTTATTTTCATTTTGCTGCCTATGGATTTCAAGTTTTCCCAGCACCATTTGTTAACAAGGCTATCTTTTCTCCAATGTATCTTTTTGGTAACTATGTCTAGTATGAGATAACTGTGTTTATGTGGTTTTTCTCTCTGTCTTCTATTCTGTCCCATTGGTCTACATGTCTATTTTGGTGCCAATACTATGCTGTTTTGTTACTATAGTTTTGTAGTATAGTTTAAAGTCTAGAATAGTGATGCCTCTTGCTTCACTTTTCTTGCTAAGGATTGCTTTGGCTATTCTGAGTCTCTTATTTTTCCAGTTCAATTTCAATATTGCTTTTTCTATTTCTACAAGAAATGATGATAGAATTTTAATTGGAATCACATTGAATCTGTATAGTGCTTTGGGTAGTATGGAAATTTTGACAATATTAATTTTTCCTATTCAAGAACATGAGAGATCTTTTCATCTTCTAAGGTCTTCTTCAATTCCATTCTTTAGTGTTCTGTAGTTTTCATTGTTGAGGTCTTTCACTTGTTTTGTTAAGTTTATTCCCAAGTATTTCTTTTTTCTTTTTTCTTTTTTTTTTTTTTTTTTTGAGGCTATTGTGAATGAGGTAGTTTTTTCTAATTTCTCTTTCAGAGGATTCATCACTGATGTAGAGAAGTGAATTTGATTTATGAGTATTGATTTTATATCCTGCTACTTTGATGAATTCATTAATTAATTCTAGAAGTTTTCTGGTGGAATTTTTTGGATCCTCTAAGTATATAATCATGTTGTCAGCAAATAATGAGAGTTTGAGTTCTTCTTTTCCTATTTGTACCCCTTTAATTTCTTTCTTCTGTCTAATTGCACTGGCTATAGTTTCAAGGACTATGTTGAATAGAAGTGGTGAAAGAGAGCATCCCTGTCTTGTTCCAGTTTTTAGAGGGAATGCTTCCATTTTTCTACATTTAGAATGATGTTGGCCTTGGGTTTAGCACAGCTAGCTTTTACAATGTTGAGGTATGTTCTTATTATCCCTAGTTTTTCTAGTTTTTCAAACATGAAAATGTGCTGTACTTAGTCAAATGATTTCTCTGCATCAATTGATATAATCATATAATTTTATCTTTAAGTATATTGATGCAATAATTCTATTTATTGATTTCTGTATGCTGAACCAACCTTCATCCCTGGAATGAACCCCACTTGATCATGGTGCACTACTTTTTTAAAATATGCTTTTGTATGTGATTTGACAGAATTTTATTGAGAATTTTTGCATCTTTATTCATCAAGGATATTGGTCTGTAATTTTCTTTCCTTGATGTGTCTCTGACTGGTTTTGTTATCAGGATGATGCTAACTTCATAAAATAAGTTTTTTTCTCTTGTTTACAAGAACACCCTTCTCAAAAAAAAGGGCAAAGGAGATATAATCAACTTTAGACTTCCACTTGACTGTATTGAGTGATAACCAATAGCATAATTTCTGGGTATCTCTGTGAAGGTGTTTTCAAATGAGCATTACTCTACCATGCTCATGCCATAGACTTTAACTGAGTCACATCACTGGTTTTCTTTGTTCTACAGAGTGAAGATCACCTAGCAAAATTTTTCAGTTGCCACAACCATGTGAGCCAATTCCTTTAATAAATTCCTTGTTTTCTATTTACCATGTATCTATAACTAGTGTTGCTGAAATCTCAGTCTTTGTTCCTGATGTCAATCTAAAAACGAGGACATGATTTAGAGAAAAAGGAAAAAGAAGGTTTATTACATTGTGATCCAAAAAAGAAGCACAGAGGATTCCTATCCCAGAGGTAGATTCTGCCCATCAACAGGAAACGGGAGCATTTAAAGAGGTGACTCAAAGACTACATTCCATGTGCTCTCTGTTGGTGTTGTAATTCACTTTTTAATTTGGGAGACAGTCATTTCTGAGATGTTCTGGTACCATCCCCAAAGTCTGGATTACTTTATTCCTTTGGTGGGTGTGTACCCAGGAACAGATAACTCTGTTTCCCCTGAGATTCAGGAAAGGGAGAGATTGAGGAAGAGCAGGGAGAGAAGAAGAGAAAGAAACATGTCCATTTCAACAATAAGTTGCAGAGGCAGAGCAGCAAGGGTCATATTCAAAGCACAAAGTGGACCATGGTTACTATCACTTTGATATTCTCTCTCTCTCTCTCTCTCTCTCTCTCTCTCTCTCTCTCTCTCTCTCTCTCTCTCTCTCCTCTCCTATTCTCTCTCTCTCTCTCTCTCTCTCTCTCTCTCTCTCTCTCTCTCTGTCTGTCTCTCTCTCTCCCTGACTAATACAGAAAATCAATTTCCTGATATTTTGTTATAAATTAGTTGAATGTTGGCTGAATTTAGGTTTCTAGGTTTAAAACACTTTCTCTGAGAATCCTCAAGGCAGCCTGATGCAGTGAAGCATGCCTATAATTCCAGTCCCTTGGGAGGTTAAGGCAGGAGGACCACGAGTTCAAAGCCAGCTTCAGCAACTTACTGATGCCCTAAGCAACTCAGCAAGACCCTGTCTCTAAATAAAATATTAAAAAGGGCTGTGGATGTGGCTCAGTGTTTAAGCACTCCTAAGTTCAATACCAGGTACCCCCCCCCAAAAAAAATTCTCAAGGCCTATTTCTAGTAATTTCTAGTGTACTGTGCTGCTTTTGAGAAATTGCATTCCTTCCTGGATCTTGATCCTTGTTATGAAGTCTGTTTTCTTTTTCTTTGAAATCTGAAAATATGTTCTCTCCACTAAATATTAACATATATTAACTGTATGTCAATTACCTGCCAATAAAGCTATAAAACAGAAAGATACTGAACCCAATAATAATTAAAATAAACTGATTAGAAACCTTTATTCTAAAGCCAGATGACTCTGAGGTTCATCTCCTTGTGAGCCTGAACAAGATACTTAACAAAGCCTTGTCTGAATCATCTTGTTAGTAATAGGATATAATAATAATTTCATATGCTGAATAATGACTTCATACCCCAAAACACCTATATTTTAATCCTTGAAACTTATTAACCCATGAATGTGTTAAGTTACATGATAAAGGGACATTATGGATATATTTATGTCAAGGATCATAACATGGATAAATTCTACTGTATTATTGCAGGTATGTTCAATGCAATCACCAAGGTTTTTGTTTGTTTGGGGGAAGGGGTTGTGGTTTTTTGTTGTTGTTGTTGTTGATACCAGTGATTGAACCCAAGGGTATTTAACCACTGAGCCACATCTCCAGCACTTGTTATATATAATTTTAAGACAGGATCACTCTTAGATGTTAGGATCTCCCTAAATTGCTGAGGCTGGCTATCATTGCAATCATTCCACCTCAGACTGCCCAGCCAACGGGATTATATGCATGGACCACTTTATCACGCTTTATTTAACTAACTTCTTTCCCCATCCACTCACATTGTCACCCCTTCCCAAATTCTGATAACAATTACTTATCATTAAGAGTGTGACTTTTTTTATATTACACATAAAAGTGAAACATGTGGCTTGATCTTGCTATGCCTGACTTATTTCACTTCACATGATTACCCCCAGGCTTTCATTGGTTTAACAGTGATGCCATAGTAAAAACTCACAAGACTGTTAAAATATACTGTGGCTAATGCAAGTGTTACAGTATGTGAATAGGAAGCATGCATTTGTGGAAACTTAGGAAACTCTCTCCAGCGGGGTTGGATGTTCACTGAAGTTCAAAGAAATAGAGTGGTGAGAAGCAGGTCAGAGAAGACAAGCCTGTAGAGGAGGAGGAGGAAGAACCCCAAAGAGAAGATTTCCAGATGACAGCACAGCAGCAGCCAGACAGAGTGCACTTCTTCAGACAGGAATGAAGCAGATTCGGTATGCAGGTGGCACAGAGATAAATCCATTGTAAACTGGGGTGGTATCAAGATCCTTTGGGTCAACCACAGATTTCAGGCGAAAGTTTTGTAAAATGGTGGTCAAGAATATAAACAGTTCCATGCGGGCCAGACTTTCTCCTGCACAAATCCGTTTTCCTGAAATAATCAAAAGAGAGGGTAAATATTCTGTGCGGTTTATTTCTGATTGACACATGAAGAATACAGAGTCACTATGTGATGAACGATTGGGTGGATGGATGGATGGATGGAAGGATGGATAGACAAAGAGTAAATATAGGGTTGGGTTGTAGCTTAGTGGTAGAACACTTGCCTAGCATATGTGAGGCACTGGATTTGATCCTCAGTGTGACATCAAATTAAATAAATAAAATAAAGATATTGTGTCCATCTAAAACTAAAAATGTTTTAGAGAGTAACTATAAAGGATGGCTCATTAAACAAATGGATGGAAACATCTGATATCCACCTAATATTTTATCAACACTCTTCATTCCATCAGTATTTATTGACCATCAGCTCTACACTAAGAACTTCTTAACCATGTCCAAAGTAAGACTGTTCTTTTGACATTTCATGTTTCCATCAATCTTTTCCCAGAAACACATGCTGACTAATTGTATTCCTTGTTCCCAGTCTGAAGTTCCATGATCATTCCTCCCATTCGTCACATCTATCTAGTCTCATCAGCCTTAAACATACAATGCAATTTCAAGCTTTATCTCATGCTGTTCTTTTGACTAGGTTGCACTTCATACTTCTCTCAAATCCTAGATTATTTTTCTTTTACATTTGCCATTTTTCTTTTACACGCTTTGTGATTCCTGTAGGCTGTGGATTCTTGTCCTCTTTGGTTTTACTCAGCACTGAAGCATAGTTAGTTTGAATCATTATTCTCTATTTTTCTAGCCTCCTAAATAGGAGTTCCATTAAGGTAGGTCTCAGTTCTTCTCATAATAGTATCTATAGTACCAGACCTAAAAGCAAGCCTGAAGAGTCAAAGAATAAATTTAGGCAATGATATGCCAGAGACTCAGCACACACTTCAGATATGAAGGGTCCTGTATTCCAAGGAGGATCTAGATGTAGGGAGACAAAGGTGGTCTGGTGTTCTTAAAGAATAATCTGCACTATTCCCAAGGTTTGCTGACCCTTATTTACCAGTCATAAGGCTCTGGTGTCCTTGATCAAGAGCAAATATCCTAGTCTCTGGTTTTTGTCTCTTAAAATGCCTTTACCTCTCTTCAGTCCTTTTACTTGGCCTCTTATGAAGCAGCTCTAATGTTTTTTCTTCTATTTGAACAGTAGTCAATTCATTTTATGCTTCACTGTGTGGTATGAGAGAAAAGGCTGGCGGCATGTTCTCCCTCTGCAATTATGAACAGACAATCCTTTCTTCTCTCCCACAGGATTAGTCATATTGGATTACAACAATCTATCTCTTCATCTGCTTGACTAACTGGGTTGTGGGATGCTTTGGGTGGCCCATTCTGTGCTCTAGATACTTACCATGCCCAGAGATCAGCAGAGGAATGAGAGGGCCCACATGGAAGATACTCACTAAAATTGTGTAGTTAGATATCTTTCAGAGGGCAAATGAGGACAGTGGAGATGAGTTGAATCTTCTAAGAAGAGTTCTTGGAGTACAGTGTTGTATTTTGAGGCATGACTCAATTTACTTTCTCTGTAGCTTTCTGACTTTGGAAGAACGAGGTCAATTTTCCCAACACCCCAGTAATTAGACACAGTTATGACTTTGTAGCCTGATCTTGGACAGTGCATGGGCACTGGGAGTGTTGCTCCTGACATGTGCAAAGAACATTTCTACCAGCCCCCAAATAAGCATTGTCAAGTTTAAGTGATCCCAAATTTTTCTCCCCTGAATAAAAACCAATGGAAATAAATTTCTATTACCTGTCGAGAAAGGCATGAAGTAGTCACTCTTCTTGAATTTGCCACTCTTATCCAGGAAATGGCCAGGGTCAAACTTCTCTGGATTGGGGAATTCTTTGCTGTCATGCAGCACAGATGTCAGTGATGTAATTATGGTTGTACCCTGCAATGAACAGTCACAGATAAACAAAGTTGTAAAGAAGTCATGGAGCTAGAGGAAAGTTTGGACTTTACTTAGTCCAAATATTACGATAAGAAACCCTTGTCCAAAGAAGAGCAGTGATATTTCCAATTAGGCAACCAAGTAATAAATGCATGAGTTTAATTCCAGTGGCTACGACCTTGCTAAAGTGCCTCCAAAGCATTTGACGTAGTGAGAACTTGAGTACTTAAGTACCAAACCTTCTGTTCTCTTTATCATCAAACTTGGATGCTAGTGTCTGCCCCTACTCAATACTTATTTTATCACTTCAGTTTTCACACATCTTGTATAGGATTCTGCTTTAAAATGGGTCTTTGTCAGCTCTTGAAATGTCCAGGATATTGTTTATAAGACCTTTCTGGAATAATAAAATGTACACCAAAAACTAACTGAATATTTATCATTGTCACAAAATTTGATTCTCCATAGAAATGTGAAATGTTGAAGATCACAAATTAATGCTAAAGTTTTTTTTAATATTCCATTTTTGTTTTAAATAAGAATGTGAAAAATGTTTATTTTTTCACATTTTTGGTACATTACAATTATACATAACGGTAGGATTTTTTGTTTTACATTCATGCTTACATATAATATAACACTATAATTTGGTCAGTATCATTCCCTAATCACCTTCTTCTTTCCTCACCTCCTAACTCCCCCTGGTCCCTTTTGTCTTCTCCACTGATCATTCTTTATGAATTTTTTCTAACTTCTACATGTAACAGTAAAAATATGTCCCTTGACTTTCTGAGTTTGACTAATTTGCTTAACATAACACTCTCATCCTGCATTATGCATATAACTATGTCATATCCAGGAAAAGTCCATCTCTTTTCCTGGATATGACATAGTTTCATTTTTTATGGTTGAACAAAACTCTGTTGTATATATACGTATACCACATTTTCTTTATTAATTTATCTGTTGATTGATATTCAAGATGGTTCCATATATAGACTGTAATGAATTATGCTGCTATGATCATGGCCATAGCAATGCATGTATCACATTAGTATGCTCACTTTAAGTCTTTAGGATAAATGCAGAGGAGTGGTATATTGGATCATGTAATGGTTCCTGAAGATACAAATATTTCTTGAAGATAGAAGGATATATTTTCAAAAAAATTGTACTAGAGTGACTGGACACTTTTGAGAAACACATAGGCTTGGCATGATGGCATATACTTGTAGCCTCAACTGCAAAGGAGGCTAAGGCATCAGGATTGCATTGAACCCAAGACTTTGGAGCCAGCTTGTGAAACATAGAGAAATCTTGACTCAAGAAAAGGAAAGGAAAGGAATGAATTGCATGACCATTATTTCATACCACAAATAATTAACTTGAAACGAATCACCAATTTAAATGTAGGAGCTAAAACTATTAAAATTCTAGAAAAATATAAAGACAAATTATGCAATCTTGTACTAGTAAATATTTTTTACATAGGAAATAAAGCACAAATTATAAAATAAAATATTGAATTGAGTCTGTCAGTTTAGCATAAAGTTAAGAAATTATGCAATAATCTCAGTCTTAGGTATTTACTTAATAGAAAAGTAAATATAGTCCACCTCAACATTTTTACACAAATGTTCATATTATTTATATTTTAAAAGCCAAAAGCAAGAAAGAACCAAAAATTTCCATCTCACTCAGAGTAGAGAATAAATTCATGGTATTCTTTGTAATGGAAGGAATACTATTCAGTAATAAAGGGGAATGAACTACTAATACATGTAAATGAAAATGAATCTAAAACAGGTCCTGCTGCATTAAAAAAAAGAAAGAAAGAGAGATACATTAAAATTAAAAAGAGAGATATATTAAAAAGACACATTAAAGGGAGACCAGTACAGTCTAGTGAGAGGATCAAGAGGAGGAGGAGTACAGGAGGACAAAAGAAGATACTGGGGAATGAAATTGATCAAATTATGTTATGTGCATTATGAATTGGCCACAATGAAATGTACTATTATTCTGTGTAATTATTATATGCCAATAAAAATTTAAAAAAGAAACTTGGACCTATATAAAGAAGAGTGTTAGAGAAAGAATGAATGAAGGTAAAATGGGCAGAGATGAAAGACTTGATTCTGTCATATTCAATGCATTTTTTTGTTGTTTTCATATTCTGTCATATTGTTCTGTCATATTCTAGTGTATTTCTAGGGTAGTACTCTTTCACACAAGTGACACTTCTTTCACTCTCTTCCCTATGTATGCAACTGTGATCCGGATTCTGTATTTTGCTCACTAAGAAATAAGAACTCCTCAATAAAAAAAGATGAATATTTTTGATGCAGTCATTATCATTGACTCTTCTACATCTCAGAGGAAGTCATCCTTCTCAGAATTGTTTCATCAACCATTTTATAATTGTGTGTGTGTGTGTGTGTGTTGAGGGGGGCAGTTTTACTGTGCCCACATTTCTGATTAAGTCCTTAAGTATGAATTGCAATTGCTCCATTGTCAGACTGATTAACATTTTAGAAAGGCATTATGATGTGTGCACTCTAGATATTTATGATACTTCCAATGGGGTAATGTAGGATAATATCATAGAATCAAATACATGGGTATTTTTAGAAAAATAAATGAATATTTCATACAAATATAAGGAGAATATAATAAAAGAGAATATAAATGATTCGTCCAAATTTAATTTAATTTTGGCCACTTAGTGAGACAGCACTTAAATGCATTCTTTTGTTTTCAGGGCTTTTGGTGGTGAACAATTTCTTTTTAAATTTGTACTTACTTGTGGTGCCTACATGTGTAATGACCAAATCAGGGTAAGTAGCATTTTCATCCCCTTATATTTTTCTTTGGTAACATTTGAACTGCTGTCTTCTGATATTTCAAAAAATACATAGTAAATGGCTATAAACAAATTAAATTAATTTAAATTTCTTATTTGCCCTAATCATATTATAAGCACTGAACAGGCATGAGTAGCTAGTAACTACTGTATTGGGCAACAGAGACATAGAACATTTCTGTCATTCAGCAAGTTCTTTGAACAGGGCGCAGACCAGTAATTAGTAAATCACAACCCATCCAAATCTAGTCTGTCATCTGTTCATGTATAGCCTTTTATCTAGTAACTTTTAAATTGAAAAATATATGTATTTTGTGACGTGCAAATTCTAAAAATCACTGTCCATCCATATTGGAATACACAGTTTTCATTCACTTACATATCATATATGAGGGCTTTTGTGTAACTATGGCAGAGACAAGAAGTGACAAGAGAGACCCTATTGCCAAAAAGACTAAAATATTTACTATCTAGATCATTACGGAAGAAGTTTCCCAAGTTATCTTAGACCATATGTCCACCTTGCGGAGTGGCTCAATCCTGTGATAGCAGAACTTATTTTTATAATTCACATGGGAGTCATTAAAATAAGCTATGCAGCATCTCAACTTCTGATTGTACCACACAGAAAGGAGTAGCTCATTCCCTTTAGCACTGGGCCCTCTACATTCAACAGAGGCCAAGTATTCTTTGCTGAAAACAGAGTGACTGGAAAAAAGGAACCCTTGTCTGAAAACTGTCATCACCAGGTCAAGGCCCATTACTTCTCTCTAGAAGATCCTCCATTCCTTTTTCTCCAAAAGATGAAAAAAGTACTTCTAACCTACTAAAATCATAATTCTTTTTTGACCATTTAACACAATTTTTAGTTTTACAATATGTAAATTTCATTAGTAATATGTTCCAGCTTTAAGTGAAATGGAGTAGCTTGGAGCATACTGACCAAAAAGTCTAAATAAAGATAGAAACTTTATATTAGACTCACTGGAAAAGCTGCTCCGAGGTAAAAATTGGGTCAAGAATGCACAGCTGGAGGAACCTCAAAGTTGGTTGAGAGCTTTGGTCAATTTTCAACTGTGTTAGTCAACAATTCTGAGTCAGGGTAAGAGGTGTTGTAGCATACTGACTATCTAGTGGAGCAGGGGTAGAAATCTTTCTCAAAGAAGATGAACATCATCGGAAACTGCAGCTTTTCTTATATGACTGTACTTAGAAAAATATTGTTAGGCATTCCAAAGACACAACTAAGAGGCCACAAAAACAAGAGGGTGGGGGATAGAAAGGCAATAAAAATAGTCACAAAGTAGGAAATATCATCTCCCTTATCTATGACACCAAGCTTCTCTTTGACAGAAATACAACAAAGAAATTTCAAGAAGAAAAATTGGAGAATAATCTGTCAAAAATGTGAATTAAAATGCTCGGAAGTGATATTGGTGAAATTATATTGTTATATCATGTGTAGGCCTGAATATGTAACAACAAATCCCATCAATATGGACAAAAATAATGCAATAATAAAAATATGGGAAGAAACAAAAGTCTTTAACAAACTGAAACAGAAGATTAAGTTCTGCTATGTGTCTGTACATAAAATATGAATATTTAGTGGAGAAAGACCAAAAAATATGACCATCAACACATGATCAATGGATGCAGAGAATCCATTTGATAAACTTGTACATTACTGTCAAACATAAATGATATAAGAAAACACCAAACACAAATAAGAAAAAGGGAAACTTCTGCCAAAATGTGCATAAAACATTACACTCAGTAATATGATGTTAAATCTTCACCTCCTGTGAGAGTCCAAAAAATTAAAAGCTTGCTCAACACACCACTTCTATTCAACCCTGTGCTAGAAATTTCAGCCAGTACAATTACGTAAGAAGAAAAACTAAGCTCACTAGAATTGGCTATAGTAATAAAACCAACACTAACCAGATAGCAAGGAAATGTACATAAGACATTGCAAATGAATCTAAACACAAATTATTATCAATGATTAACAAAGTTAATAAGAATTCTAGATATAAAGTCATCAAAGTAAAACTCTAACTATATGTTATTATGCCAAGAACAGCAAAATGGAAAAGGCATTATTTAAATTGTACAATTCATATTAGCTTTCAAAATGTTAATTACTTAATTAAAAATTCTTTCAAAAAGTGTGGAAACCACTCCAATGAAAATAAAACATTATTGAAAAAAAATAAACAAAATCCAAATGAGAACATACACAATGTGCAATAACTGAAATATTTCTACATATCAAGATGTCAATTCTTTCCAAGCTGATCTTTCGATTTCATATTATGCTGAAAAATATCCCATGAGAGTGTTTTAGAAAATTAACAGACTGATTCTGAAATTTGTTTGGAAATGTAAACAGCTGAGAATAGACAAAGCAAACTGGAAGGAGCAGAAGAAATTGGGAGAGTTCACCCTGCTGGATGTCAGGAACAGTTAGGGAGCTTCATGACCTAATCTGACCCAGCAGTGAGTCCATCAAGGTGCTGCATGGGTGAGTTTTGTACTTCTCTCATCTTGTTCTGGCAGAGGATTGGGACCATTCTGCTAAGTTGGGAACTTCAAGAGCACTGAAGTGCAATGTGGGAGAAATAATACCTTGGGAATGAAATAGTTTCTGAATTTAATGCCACAGGTCACTGCATGGGGAAGATTGGTTGGCAGGAGGTCAATGTATCTCTGGATCTCATGCAGGACAGCCTCTGTGTAGGGCATACTGCTCTTGTCCTGCATGCAGGGGCTGCGATGTCTGCCAATCACATGGTCAATCTCTTCCTGGACTTTAGCTGATAAGATACAAATGAGAACTTATGAAAAAGAGAAAAATAGTATAATCCTTAAATATTTTAGGGTTATATGAAGCATTAATGAGTATCCAGGAGGTACTAGAAACATGACTTATATGCAATAAATACTTCTGTACGTAAGAAATGATCACCATGATACTATCTATATCTACTTATCAATATCTATCAACAAATACTGTTAAACATAGATAAATACATACATACATATACTATTAGTCATATGCATTTAAGACTCTCCTATAAGCTAGGTATTAAAATATATCTACAAACTTATATAAGCCTCACATATTAGCATATATATCAAATATAATTATAAATGATAAGTGTTTCAAAATATCAAGTCATCACATAACTAATTAAAGAATTGTCACTTCAGAAAGAAAAACAGAGAAAATATTAATTTTATACCAAAATAACATGACATTATAAAATTAAATTCTACTAATGGATCTATATGATTGCATGCCTACGCGTGAACGTGTGTGTTTTTTTGTGTATGAGTGCATGTGTGGTTTTCAGTGGAACCCTTTCCAATCTCTCATTCCTTAAAGATAGCCATTTTGAGTCATTCTAGAAATCTTCTGAATATTCCTATTCCTAAATAATTATCTATTTTCGTTTCTTGATTTATCCAATTTTAGAAAATTTCTAATGATTTCCTGGTAAGGAAGATTAAGTTCCATTCCTACTCCCTGTAAAATACACACCACAAATAAATGTGCACACCCACATGCCTGAAATTATTACCCTCTCCACTGCTATATATCTTGATCACAATTTTTGATCTTATCAATATACTGTGTTTACACCATTATGACCACATAAATAATGTTTAATGTTTCATTCATTGCATATGTTTAACTTATATTTGAACAACTTATGCCAATTCCTAATTTTCTGGTTATTATCTTATATATAAATGCTTAGATTGATGTTTCAAACTTCTAGAAATAATTTTCTAAATGTTTAAACTTTAGATTCTCTCTTTTATTTTCTTTATCTTTGATTACACCTGCTTTATACTTCATGTGGACAATTGGTTGTTTCCTAAGCCTAGTGTTCAGGACCCTCCCTCACTCCCTTAAACTCCCATCTTTATACATAAATTCTCTTGATTCCTGAAACCCCTGACTGGCTCTGCCTTGATTGCAAATATTTGGATGGAGCATATGCTCAGTATCTTCCTGTGAAAATGAAAAAGGGGAATAAATTTGTACCAAAGATGGATTTTAAAACATGGGTTTTTGTTGTTGTTGTTCTTTTGTGTTAGTATGGATTTTTCTTTTGGGTGGTGTTTTTTGGTTTGGTTTGGTTTGGTTTGTCCTGGGGATTGATCCAGAGGCCCTCTACATCTGAGCCATACCTAAAGCCTTTTGATTTTATTTTGAGACAGACTGGCTCAGGCTAGTCTTGACTTCCACTCAGCTTCCTGCTTCAACCTCCCAATAGTTGGAATATAGTCTTGTGCCACCACACCCGGCTCTTACATTTTCTATTAACACACAAAATAATCGATGCTCTTTGGAACTCAGATGCCCTTCTGATTCATTCTTCTTAACATAAGACCTGGTATATTTCTAAAAGTTTATGTGATTTTTTTTAAACTTTATTTTGATGTTCTAAAATTGATTACAGGACCCCTTAGTTTCAGTTTTTCTAAAGAGTAAGCCTCTGTTCCTATGAGAGGAAAACAGTTAACTGCTCAAGGGGATGCAGAGGGTACCTGCACATAGAGGGACTCCTATTTTCTGCCTCAGTTTTCTCTAATTTGTTTGATATATGGTGCTTCTAAATGCTGAACCTTATGGATATTTTTAGGTACACAGATTGGCTTTTCCACAGTATTACAACTTCTTCTGACATACAGGCTACAGTTTGAAACTCTCTGCTAAGTTGTATTCCTTTCTTCCGCCCTCTGTGCTTCAGAAAATTGTTGAAGGTTTGTTGCCTGTTTCCTCTATTCCTCTTCTCACACTTTAGAAGAAGTAATTTGCATTTGTACTCTGGTGACACAGCACATTCAATAAGGAAACTTCTTTAAGAGAAATAAGGTGGAGGACACTAGCAGTGTCTTGCCAAGTTTCTATTGTAAAATTCACCCTGCTCACCATCTGCAGTCATACCTGTGACCTCTGGGTGCTTCAGAAGGAGCAGGAGTCCATATCTCAGAGTAGTGCTTGTTGTCTCTGTTCCAGCTCCAAACAGATCATTAACAGTGTTTATTAAGGCTTCAGTGGTAAATTCAGTCTGTGGATTGCCCTTTTCCTATAAATAATTCAATGCATTTATTTCACAATTAATTTATTTATAATAATTTACAATCATACAGTTATAAAATTAGGCCAACAGAGAATCAAAAGACTACAATATTATTAAAAGCTACTGTGTGATATGGTAAACTATAGATAAATTGACTAAATGTCTGTTTGCACCTTGTTGCCTAAAGATTCTATTCACCATCCTTTTTGCAACTAGGAAGGACATGTATCATATTTCTTATCAATAAAATACAAGGGAAAGTCTGTTGATGCAATTTCTCTTTCCTGCTTCCTACATAATATATATACATAAAATGATAGACCCATAGTGTAGGCCAGACAGAAATCATTTTGAGATTGCAAGATTTAATCATGAAGATAAAAGCTAGTATATTAAGTACAATGTGTTATTTCATTTTCTGTTGCTATAACAGATTGCCAGAAACTGTGTGATTTACAAAGAAAAGAGATTTATTCTGTCCTGGCACCTCTCAACACTGTTTCATTGAGAAACAACTTTCAACATAAGTTTTGGAGAGGACAAACTACATGCAACACATAACATATGGTGCAGGAAAATGGAAGGCACCTGAGTCTCTGATGTTTCTCTGCTATGGTACTAAACCTAGTCTAGCCCACCACAAGTCTTCCTTATATGTTAGATGACTAAATACAATTTTGAAATTTCTGGTAATTGGTTTTCCTTTATTTGTACATGAAGATGATAATAATTGATACAAATAGGTAAATTACGGCCACATCATAGTAGATAAAATTACATAAATCAAGAACATGCAATTTTCTTCTTCTGATAAAGAATTTACTTGGAATTAGGATTTCCCACACACTCATTAGGAACTGGAAAATATGCAAAAGATAATATGGCAGCACAGTCTAAAATAAACAAGAAGAGAATATATTTCGTATGTGAGGCAACAGATAACTTAGGAAAAAATTATAAGAATAAATTCACCAGGAAATTCACCCTATTCTTAAGATACAAATTGAAAAAGACACCACAAACACAAAGACAGAGTGTTTAGGTATTAACTGTTCATTGAGAATTAAGGGAAAGAGTAGAGATAATGCAGATTCTGAGGATAAGGGGCTGACTCGATAGAGCTCTCATACATTGGAAATTGAGAAATAGAAAGTACTCGATAAGAACAACTAATTTTGATTTTGGACTGAGGGTATTACTTGCCACAGAGTTGACATCAACAAAGGTTAACTTTACTGAGTAAAGATTTGAAAATATAAAATAACCCTAACACATGAATTACATATATAAAATATGTATTTTTATAACAAGTTCATAGGTGAGAATTTATTTAATGGGGCTTATATAAGCTCCAGGTGGACTATAGGATGTTCAATAATATGTAAGCAACATTTAGAGAGACAGCTATCTCAACAGGCATATTTCCTGGATAAGGTAATATTGACTTTACCTAGTTTTCTAAGATTGCCCAAACAAAATTTCAAAGAAGACCCAAATAGGAATATATTGTGCAATAGGCAGTGAAACATTTAGTGTCATTAAAATAGAAGTACTGCAGTTAAGGAAAATGGAAGACCAAAGGAACCCACAATAGAGTAGCAGCTCCCCAAGTATGAATTAAAACATCAGTTCTACAGAGAAAAACTGAGGTCGGAAGACTGTGGGAAATTTTCATTAAGGCAGCAGACAGGTGAATACCAAAAATATCAGGTGCTACAGTAGAAAGAGAATTAATAAAACAACAGACAGCCATACCATTCAGTGAGTGGTGGCTCAGTAGGGAAGATGAAGCTACTTTCCCATTAGATAAATGAATATCTGCTACTAAGTTTAAGAAAAGCAGACACAATTGTCCAACAAAGTCACATTTGAGCAGAAAATAAGCTCAGATGACATGATCCTATACTTAGAAGTACCCCTCCCCAAGGCGAGGCATGGTGCTGCTGCACACCTGTAATCCCAGCAGCTCTGCAGGCTGAAACAGGAGGATCACCAGTTCAAAGCCAGCCTCAGCAAAAGCAAGGCACTAAGCAACTCAGTGAGACCTTGTCTCTAACTAAAATACAAAATGTGGCTTAGTGGTCAAGTTCCCCTAAGTTCAATCCCAGATATGTAGAACTAATTTTTTAAAAATTGTGAATATAGCAGGATACAAGATCAACATACAAAAATCAATTGCTTTCCTGTATTCCAATAATGAATCTTCTGAGAAAGCATTCAGGAAAACAATTCCATTCAAAATAGCCTCAAAATGGCAACATTACTAGGAATGAATCTAACCAAGAAAGTGCAGATATCTACACTGAAAATCATAGAATACCAAAGAAAGAAATAGAAGAGAATCAAAGAAGATGGGAAAATCACACATGTTTCTGAACAGGCAGAATTAATATTAATATAATGGCGATAATACCAAAATCACCTATAGATTTAATGCAATCCTCATCAAGATACAAATGATATTCTTCACAGAAATAGGAAAATCAGCCCTAAAAATTTATACAGAGAAACCAAAGACCCAGAATATCCAAAGCAATACTGAGGAATAAGAACAATTCTGGAAGCATCTCAATACCTGATCTGAAATTATACTACAGAGTTTTAGTAATGAAATAGCATAGTACTGGCAAAAAAAAAATAACAGAATAAAAGACACAAGATGTTTTGCCTCACTTTGTGTCCAGGGATGTGGAATCAGCAAACACAGATTGAACCTCTGTGACAATGAGCCAAAATAAATGTTTCCTCTTCTATGTTGTTCTTGTCAGATCTGGGGTCACAACAAAGAAAAAGTTGACTAAAAGAAAAAAAATGGTATTGGAAGTGGGGCCATTGCTGTGTCTAACCTTTCCATGTGGTTAATAAGTCTTCGGGATTCATTTGATGGAGGAGGAATTTTGAAGTTTAAAGATGCAAGCTGCAAAAGCGTTAGAATGTTGTAAGTGGAGCTTAAAGAGTGATTCTGGTGGACACTCAGGAAACCAGAAGGCTGACACAACTGTGGACAGTTAAGACTGGGCTCACTTGGTTTCAAACAAGGGGACTCTTGGAAATTGAACTGGACGGCATTCATGTTATGTTGCAGCATGTTCTACATTTTTCCAGTACCCTGAGACTATCTGTGAGGCTGAATTTAATAGTGCTAGACTAATTAATCTGGCAGAAGAAATTTCAAGGCAATACAGCATTCAGCCTGTGTCATAGATCTTTCTAGTGACTTTTAGCCAACTGTACTGTGATAACCAGAGGCAGAAATAAAAGTAGAAAGATTTGAAAAATTGATGTTTGGCCATAAAATCCAAGTAAAACTGGGATACAGAATTTGTGGTTGTTAAAAACATTACAGCTACTAAATAATGTTATACTTTAAAAAGGGACAATAGGAAAGATGGTTGGAGGGCCTCTCAGGAATTGGCAAGACCACATCCATCTCAGACTAAAGGGTATAAAACTAAAAAATCATTTGAGAGGAGATCATGGCAGCACCATGCTTGCATAAAGATATTTTATGGAATATCTGGAAAGATGTTTCAATATGCAGAATGATGCAGATAGAGAGACTGCTGTATCCATGGTCCCTGGAAGCTTGGCTGCTGCTCCAGATGTTGGCATATCCTGATGTCAATCAATAGAGATGCAACATGCCAGAATCTCTGGAATCCTAGGAAGGCAGTTCTTAGACAAGAGTTTATAAACCATGAATGAATACATTAAAAAATCTGAAATAGCCCAAATACCTAATAATGCATCTCCAAGCTTTAGAAAATTTATAACAACCTAATCTCAAATATTATAGAAAGAATGAAATAATTAAGATGCAAGCTGAAGAGAACAAAAAAGTACAAAGGATCAATGAAACAAAGACTTGGTTCTTTGAAAGGATCGAACAAGACTGATAAAATAGCCAAACTAAACAAAAGAGAGAAGATATAATTTAACAAAATCAGACATGAAAAAGGAGGTAGTTCCAGAGAATCTCTGAAATCCAGAGGATTATTTTGGACTGCCTTTAAAACTTCTATTCCAATAAATTGGAAAATCTAGATGAAATGGACAAATTTATATCCAGATGCTACCTGCAATAATTGAACCAAGACATAGAAAACTTAATCATACCAATTACAAACAACAAGACTGAAGCAGTGCTAAAAAATCTTCCAGGAAAAAAAAACAGAACAGATAGCTTCTCATCTGAATTCTATCGGGCCTTTAAAGAAGAACAAGTGCTGCTCTTCTTCTGCACATGATTCCATGAAATAGAAAGTGTGAATGGGAGGGGGGTAAGTCATACTTAATTTTATGAAATCTATATCACTGTGACCCCCCAAACAGGTAAAAACACATCATGGAAAGAAAACTAGAAACCAATAAATAAAACACAAATGAATAAATTTTTAGTAAAATATTGGCAAATCATGTTTGAAAGCACAATAAGATTATACATGTGAAAAGAACACATTTTAAAAATTGTACATGATGATCAAATTTGTTTCATTCCAGGGATTCAAGAATGGGTGGATCAATACCTACAAATCAGTAAACATAATCCATTACATAAGTAGAATCAAGGAATCATAATCACATGGCATTCTCAATAAATCCAGGAAAAGCTAGTGGCAAAATCTAGCACCTATTCATGTTAAAAAAATGATGAAGAAAGTAAGAATAGTAAGAACTTCCCTAAATATCATAAGGGAAGTTGAAACTCAAGCCATCATATAGTGAATGGGAAAAAAACTGAAAACATTTTTCTCCACACTCAGGAAAAAGACAAGGATGTCCACTGTCACTTCTTCTACTTAAAAAAGTACTTGATATTTTAGTCAGAGCAATTAGGCAGGAGAAAAAAAAATAAACATGATACAAATAGGAAAGAAAGAAGTCAAATATCACTGTTTGCAAATGATATGAGTCTGTATTTGGAAAACCCAAAATAACTTCACCAGAAGATTTCCAGGGTTGTTTCAGAAAACCAGTTAAGAAAAGTAGTGGGCTATAAGATCAAAATATTAAAAATAATCAATAACTGTTACATACAGCAATAATGAATCCACTAAAAAACAAATCAAGACCACAATTTCATTCATAATAGCCTTAAAAAACCCAAATCCTAAAATCTAACTGAGGAGATGAAAAATCTATGATTAAAATCACAAAACAATGAAGAAAGAAACTGAAGAAGACCTAGGAGGAAGAGAAGAAGACTTCCCATGTTCTTGAATAGAAAGAGCTAACGTTATCAAAATGAACATATTACCACAGCAATCTATAGATTCAATGAAATCCTGATCAAGATGACAATGCCATTCTTCACAGAACTGGAAGAAAAGGTCCTAAAATTCATTTGGAAAAATAAAAGACCCAGAATAGCTTAAGCAATATGGAGCAGTAAGAGCAATGCCAGAGGCATCACAGTACATAATCTCAAATTATATTATAGTGCTCTGGCAACAAAGACTACCTGATTCTTTCATGTAGATTAATGGGAACGAAATCATAAAGATAAACCCACATGGATACAGTGATCTAATCCTTGACAAGGGCGCCAAACATATACATTGAAGAAAAGTCATATTTGTTCCGTTTTGTTTTGTTTAAACAAGTGGCACTGAGAAAACTGGATGTCCATATGTAAATGAAGAAAACTACATTCCTCCCTCTCACCCTTCTCACAATCAACTCAAAGTAGATCAAAGACCTAGGAATTAGATAAGAAACACGGCAATTGCTGGGGAAAAAACTGAAGGGCAACACTCCAAATGATAGATATAAGCATTGGCTTCTATAATAAGACTCCTAAAAATCAGGAAATAAAATCAAAAATAAATAAATGAGAGGGCATCAAAGGAAATAAGTAAGAGGATGAAGAGACAACCAACAAAATGGGAAAGAAAACTTTGCTAGCTATTCTTCTGGTAGAGGATTAATAAGCAGAATACACAGACCTCAAAAAACAACACCAAAAAACCCACAAATAACTTAAATAATAAGTGCACAAATGAACTAAAAACACACTTCTCAAAAGAAGAAATATTAACAGTCAACAAATATATGAAAAAATAGTCAACAGTGTTAGCAATTAGGGAAATTCAAAGCAATGAGATTTCATCTTATTCCAATTAGTATGGCGGTCATCAAGAACACAAACTATAATTAATGCCTAAGATGATGTGGAGGAAAAAAAACACTTTTACACGGTTGATGGAGTTGAAAATTAATACAAGCACTATGTAAATCATTATGAAGGTTCCTCAAATACTAATACTGGAACCATCGTATGACCCAGCTATACCAACCCTCAGTAATTATCCTAAAGTATTAAATAAGGAAAAGAAAGTTGGGGAAATCACAAAAGATCAATGGTAAATCAGTAGAGTAGAAAAAAGGGAACAGGAAAAATGAGGAGGTGAGAGAAAGGGCAAATACTGGGAAATAATATTGGCTAAATGACATTGTTATATTGTGTGCATGTATGAATATGTAACAACAAATCCTGAAATTATGTACAACTACAATGCAGCAATTAAAAATATATGGAAAAAAACAATAATTTTAAGGAAAAACACTTTATACTGTTGGTAGGATTCTAAATCAGTACAATCACTATGAAAATTAGTCTGAGTATTTCTTAAAAAAGTAAAAATGGAACCACAAAATGACCAAGTTATACCACTCCTGGTTATTTATCCAAAATAATTAAAGTCACATACTCTAGTAATATATGCAGCACAGTTCACAATAGCCAAGTTATGAAACCTTCAACAGATAGAGAGATTACAATAACATGGTATGTGACATACAGTGAAGTTTCACTGAATCTTAAAAATGAAATGTCATTTCTAAGGAAACTGATGGAACTGGAGAAGATAATAGAAGATAATTCTAAGTGTGATAAACCAGACTCAGAAAGTGAAGGGTCATGGGTTGGGGATATATCTCAGCTGGTAGAGTGCTTGTCTCACATGCACAACGTCCAGTGCCACACACACACACACACACACACACAAAAAGAAATTCAAGGGTCACATGTTTTCTCTCATATGTGGCATCTAGAGAAAAAATAAAGTAAAGGGACCTCATCAAAATGGAAAAACAACAAGAACAATAGAGAAGGGGAATAGGGAAGGGAGAAAAGGAAGGAAATGGGAATTTGGGGGAAAAAACTGACAAATTTGTTCTGTGTGCATATAGAATTATATCACAATATATCCCACTATTATGAATAATTTTAATGTATTAATAAAAACCTTTTTCTAAAAAAAAAAGATGACAGTACAGGAGTAATGACTCAAAAAGATAGTGGAGTAGGAAGTTCCAGGTATAAGCCCTTTCAGAGAAAACCCTATTAACCTAATATAAACTCTCTGAAGCAACTGTTTGGGAACTCTGGAATCTAGTTGAAAAAATTGTATCCAGGAAAAATATTTGATAAAGAAAAGTTTTCATAAATCTCAGTGTCTTACGTACCAGCTACTATTCCCCATAAATCAGGACCTACTGCAGACAGCTGTGAGGACAGTGATCTACATTCCTGTTGCACTTCCCTGGTCTTAGAATGGGCAACAGGAATCCTGTCCTATAAAATCAGTGTTTGATGTTTTGGTCACTTGGTCTTGATCACTGAGGAACCATTACACATGCAGGCCACTAGATAATTACCCATTCTCCTGTATACTGAGTACAAGCAATAATTTCAATTTACATTTTGTGGCTCCAATTTTATATTTTGCAGCTTATTTATAACCATTCCCTTTTCATCTGAGATGTGAATTTTGTCTTTCCTCGGGTAGATTGTTAGTATCTATAGAACAGGATCCACGTATTCCAGCTGTTTAACAATTCAATTTCTATGATAATTCATGCAAAACCATAAAGGAATAATGTGCTTCAAAGGCCTGTCAAGAATGTCTTGCCTCACCACTTAACTATCACTAGTAATTATAGAATTAATCAGTGAATGGCAAAATGCTGATGCAATTAGATAACTGAGTTGTCATTCATGTTCTACCTCTTCCATTTTAATCAGGAAGCAGTCGATGAAGTCCCGAGGATTGTTCATATCCAGGGATTCTTGATGTTCTTTTATTTTCTCCAAAAAATACTGTTTCAAATCATTAACATTCTTAAAAACTTTTTTATGACTTCCTGAGAAAATATTAATGAGAACAGGAAAATTGTTGCAGACCTGCAAAATAAAAATAGGTATTAACTAAAAGCAAGTAATAAAGACACATAAATATTATGCCTAGTCCATCATTGAAACTATAGCTTTAAAAACAAATGATGTCCACCTTAAAAGAGAAGGTTTTACTGTACGTATATAATAATTCCCAAGCTTATAGAAAAATTTGATGGAGAGAACTATGACCAGAGGATTAGAAATGATAACCCTTTTCTATACTCAAACATCATCTTTAGAGATAAGATAAGGGTTCCACTACAGCCTGGAATTCCGGGGCAGAGCCCACTCATTCATCCCACACCTGCAGCATGGAGTTCAGGGACAGAGCCACCCCCCCCACACACACACACACACACACAAGAGTCACCCCGTGCTGGGGTTCCTTATTCACCAAAGTGTGGCCCCACAGCCCAACATCAGGAAACATACAGGCTTGAGGCTGCCACCACCCCAAAGCTGGGATATCACCACTTCTATCAAGAGACAACAATAAGGACTTGGTAAGACATCACCAACATCCCTGTGGCCTGGCTGCACCAGAGGTTTCTCTACTAGGGGTGCTAGCAGTTATTCTGTTGCTAAGGTAACAGGGAGTCTTGCATAGGGTTGCCTATCTCTTGTTTCTCCTACTAACAGCCAACTTCCTATTTATCCTCTCACTAGTCATATAATCCAATACATCCATATTCTCACATCCTACCTCATAAACATCTCAGCCAATCCTCCAGTACCCCTTCCACCATCAGAAACTGTAAACCATTATGCAAACCTATTGAATATACGGTTGAAGATAACCAAACTCATCATTTCTATTTATAGTGACAAAACTGTAAATGTAAAAATAGGAGCTAACTGATATATGGCTGCACATTGGGTACATTGAGTGCTATAATATTGATCTCTCCCTTAAAAGTGAAGCACTAGTAATCTGTAGGCACACTATAACACAGTAAGGCAGAAGTTGTAATACCTCAGATCTACACTGCAAGAGAGAAAGACACATAGACATCATGAAAAAACAAGGGAGAAAAGTGCCCCAAACAAACCAAGAAACTACAACAACAGAATCCATATATAGTCAAGTAAGTGAAATGTCAGAAAAGGAGTTCATAATACACATAATTAAAATGATTTGGGAATTAAATACAACCTAAGTGAGCAGATACAGGCAAAAATCAATCACTCCAACAAAGAGATAAGAGCACAAATTCAGATGCCCATCAATCACACCAAAAAAGAGATAAAAGAGCAAATACAGGTTGAAAGAGATTACTTCAAGAAAGAGATAGAGATACTGAAAAAAAAAAAAACCACAGAAATCCTCGAAATGAAAGGAACAATAATCCAATTAAAAACTTCAATTGATAGCATCACCAACAGACTAGACCACTTGGAAGACAAGACCTCAGATAATGAAGACAAAATATACAATCTTGAAAATAAAGTTGGCCTCACAGTGAAGATGGTAAGAAAACATCAACAGAATATCCGAGAATTATGGGATACTAACACAAGACCAAATTTAAGATTTATTGGGATAAAGGAAGGTTCAGAGATTCAAACCAAAGGAATGCACAATCTCTTCAATGAATTAATATCAGAAAATTTCCCAAGCATGAAGAATGAATTGGAAAATCAAATACAAGAGGCCTATAGGACACCAAATGTACAAAATTACAACATATCTACACCAAGACACATTATAATGAAAATGCCTAGCATACAGAATAAGGATAAAATTTTAAAGGCCACAAGAGCAAAAATCAGATTACCTGTAAGAGAAGATCCATTCGAATCTCTGCAGATTTTTCAACCCAGACTCTAAAAGCTAGAAGATCCTGGAAAAATATATACCAAGCTCTAAAAGATAATGGAAGCCAACCAAGAATCTTATATGCAGCAAAATTAAGCTTCAAATTTGAAGATGAAATAAAAACCTTCCATGATAAATAAAAGCTAAAAGAATTTACAGCAAGAAAGCCTGCACTAGAGAGCATTCTTGGCAAAATATTCAATGAGAAGAATATGAAAAACAACAATGAAAATCCGCAAAGGGAAGGACTACAATAAAAGAAAAGCCAACCAAATGAGAAACCAAGTAAAGCTAAATACCAAAAATAAACAAAAATGACCAAAAATACAAATAATATCTCAACAATAACCCTAAATGGCTTAAACTCACCAATCAAGAGACATAGGCTGGTAGATTGGATACAAAAAAAAAACAACATGCTGCCTTCAAGAGACTCATCTCATAGGAAAAAACACCCACAGACTGAAGGTAAAAGGTTGGGATAAAATATACCATTCACATGGCCTATGTAGGCAAGCAGGGGTTTTCATCTTCATATAAAATAAAGCAGACTTCAAGCCAAGGTTAATCAAAAGGGATAAAAATGAACGTTTCATACTGCTTAAGGGAACCATACATCAACAGGACATAACAGTTATAAATATATATGCCCCAAACAATGAAAACTACAAAACACTAAAGAAAAAAGATTAAAGAAGACCTTAGAAGATGGAAAGATATACCTTGTTCTTTGATAGGCAGAATTAATATTGTCAAAATGACTATACTACCAAAAGCACTATACAGATTCAATGCAATCCCAATCAAAATCCCAATGGCATAACTTATAAAAATAGAGAAAGCAATCATGAAATTCATCTGAAAAAATAAGAGACCCAGAATAGCCAAAGCAATCCTTAGCAAGAAGAATGAAGCTGGTGGCATTACTATTCCTAATAGTAACTAAAATAGCATGGTAATGGCACCAAAATAGACCTGTAGACCAATGGTACAGAATAGAAAAAACAGAGTCTAACCCACATAACTTCAGTTATCTTATATTAGACAAAGGCATCGAAAACATACAATGAAGAAAAGATAGCCTCTTCAACAAATGTCGCTGAAAATCCACATGTAACAAAATGAAATTAAACCTCTCTAACCATGCACAAAACTCTAAGTGAATCAAGAACCTAAAAATTAAACCAGAGACCTTGCACCTAAAGGAAGAAAAAGTAGGCTCAAATCTCCATCATATTGGTTTAGGCCCCAACTTTCTTAATAAAACTCCTGTAGCACAAGAATAAAAACCAAGAATCAATAAATGGGAATTGATTCAAACTAAAAAGCTTCTTCTCAGCAAAAGAAACAATCAGTGAGGTGAATAGAGAGCCTATAGAATGGGAACAAATCTTTATCACAAGCACATCAAATAGAGCACTAATCTCTAGGATATATAAAGCACTCAAAATCCTTAACACCATTAAAAAAATAACCCAATCAATAAATGGGCCAAGAAACTGAACATACACTTCTTGAAAGAGGATATACAGTCAATTAACAAACACATGAAAACATGTTCAATATCTCTAGCAATTAGAGAAATGCACATCAAAACTACTCTAAGATTTCATCTCACTCCAGTCAGAATGGCAGCTATCAAGAATACAAATAAGTGTTGGCAAGGATGTGGAGAAAAAGGCACACTCATATATTGCTGATGGGACTGCAAATTGGTGCAGCCAATATGGAGAGCAGTATGGAGATTCCTTGGAAAACTAGGAATGGAACCACCATTTGACCCAGCTATCCCTCTCCTTGGTTTACACCTAAAGGACTTAAAAACAGCATACTATAGGAACAAAGCCATATGAATGTTTGTAGCAACACAATTCACAGTAGCTAAATTATGGAACCAACCTAGATGCCCTTCAGTAGATGAATGAATAGGGAAACTTTGGTATAAACACACAGTGGAACATTACTCAGCATTAAAAGAGAATAAAATCATGGCATTTGCAGGTAAATGGATGAAGTTGGAGAATATAATGCTATTAAAGCAAGCCAATCCCAAAAAACTAAAGGCCAAATGTTTTCTTTGATATGAGAATGCTGACTCATAATGGCGATGGAGCAGGTAGCATGGGAGGAATGGAGGAACTTTAGATAGGGCAAAGAGGAGGGAGAGAAAGGGAGGAGGCAAGGGGGTAGAAATGAGTTAGACATAATTACCCTAAGTACATGTATAAGACACAAATGGTCTGAAAATATTCTGTGTACAATCAGTTTCTTGAAAAATTGTGCTCTATATGTGTAATATGAAATAAATTGCATTCTGCCATCATGTATAACAAATCAGAATAAATTTTTAAAAAATAAGTTTACATATTCTCCCCCATTTTAAACCAATTTTTTCCTACAATCTGGCCATAGAGATTGGCATGAATTACCACGATTGATGTGTTGTAGATGAGAACAGAGCTTAAGGGAGTTGGGGTAACCGGAGAAAGAATAAAATGCAGGGTAATTATGAATTGTGCTCAGTAGGGTAGAGGGAAGAGAACAGGAGGAGGAAAAGGGGAAGTGGTGGGGACTGAATTAGACCATATTATTTTCCATGGTTTATAATTATTGTTCTCAGCTTTTCCTTATGTGAAGCAGCCTCATATATAGAGTACTTACTATAAAATAGGAAAGATATTGAAAATACAATGAAATGCATTTGGGCATTCTATAGATGAAGGAACTGTGCATAAGAGTAGTTAGGAGGTTTCTAAAGATCTCACAATTGACTTTTATAAAGAATGCAGAACCTCTCAGCTAGGCAGAGGTAAATCTGTTTGTACAGGGTCGTACACCCTGAAATGCAATTATTTAGTTCACCTAACACTACTACCTTGTCAGGGGGATGCCATATGAAGCACTGTTGTGGTTTAGGAGAGGTGTCCCCCAAGAGCTCATACATGAGAAAATTCAACAGGGTTTAGAAGTGAAAATATTTATAAGAGCCTTAATGTAATCAGTGTATTCGTTCACTGATAGGGATCAACTTGGTGGTAACTCTAGGCAGGTTGTGGATGGAGGAGCTGGGTCACTGCGGGAGGGTCTTTGGTGTATGTATTTTGTCCAATGTCCTGAGCTGCTTTTCTCGTCCACACCCTTCTGCCATTATGTTCTGCTCACCTCAAGCCCCAAAGAATGGAACCAGTCATCTATGGACTGAGACGTCTAAAATCGTGAGCTCCAAAGAAACTTCCATCTCTAAATTGTTCTTTTCAGGGCTTTTGGTCACTGGTGTGAAAAAGCTGACAAAAAAAGAATCAAAAAATCTCTACCCAGTTCAGTTTCCTTACAGCATTTATGCTCCTATTCGCCCTCATTAATATCCTTAAATGAAGATATTGTATGTGTGTGTGTGTGTGTGTCTGCAATTGATTTTTTTATCAGTTCTTTTTAGTTAAACATGACGTTAGTATTCATTTTGACAAACTTATAAAATCGTGGAATAAAATTTATTCTATTCCATCTGCAGCACTTCTACTCCTCACTTCCTCCCCCACTGTTCCCTTTCCTCTACTATTCTGATCTTTCTACTGTTTACATATAGTTTCTTTTAGATTAGTGTCTTGTATGTGTACATGATGGTGAGATTCAGCGTGGTATATTTATATTGCATTTATAGGAATGTTAGGACAGATTCATCTCATCATCTTTCACTATCCCTTCCATCCTCCCTTCCTTTCATTCTCTTTTGTCTATTCCACTGATCTTTCTTCTATTCTTTTTTATCTTCCTCTCCTTATTTTGGATTAGCCTCTGTATATCAGAGAAAACGTTTATCCTTTGGTTCTGTGGGACGGGCTTATTTCACTTAGTTTGATATTCTCCAGATCCATTCATTTACCAGAAAGTACCATAATGACATTCTTCTTTATGCTCAGTAATGTTCCACTGTTTATATACACCACATTTTCTTTAATCATGTATCTGTTGAAGGGCACCTGGGTTGTCTCCACAGATTAGCTATTGTGAATTGTGCTGTAATAAACATTGAAGTGGCTGCATCACTGTAATACGCTGATTTAAAATCCTTTGGAGGTATATATGGAGGGGTGAGATAATTGGGTCAAATGGTTGTTCCATTCATAGTTTTCTGAGTAATCTCTATACTGCTTTCCAGAGTAATTGCACCAATTTCCAGTCCCATCAACGATGTGTGAATATACATTTCCCCCACATCCTCACCAACATTTATTGTTATTTGTATTCTTGATCATTGCCATTCTGCCTGCAATGAGATGAAATCTCACTGTAGTTTAAATTTGCCTTTCTCTTAATGCTAGAGATGTTAAACATTTTTCCATATATTTGTTGACCATTCATATTTCTTTCTTTCAGAAGTGTCTGTTTAGTTCCTTTGCCATTTATTGATTGGGTTATTTGGTATTTTGGTGTTAATTTTTATAAGTTCTTTGTATATCCTGGATATCAATGCCTTATCTAAAGAGCAGATGGCAAAGATTTTTATTTTCTTATTTGCACTTTAGGAGTCTTGTTAATAAAGTCAGTTCCTGAACTAACATGTTGAAGTGTGAGCCAACATCTTCTTCTAGCAGGTGCATTTTCTGGTCTAATTCCTAGGTCTTTGATCCACTTTGAGTTGAGTTTTGTGCAAGGTGAGCTATAGGGATTCAATTTCATTCCACCACATATAGATTTCTAGTTTTCCTGACACCATTTGTTAAAAAGGCATTTTTTTTTCCTCCAACATATGTTTTTTGAAAACTTTGTCAAATATCAGATAACTGTATTTCTGCCAATTAAAGTAATGAAATTTCTAAGTGGTGATTGGAGTGCAGCCCTTGTGAGTGATGAGTCCTCCACTGGGGCCTGATAACCTTAATCCTGCTCAAATGCAGTTACCAAAGTCCTTTATAAAGATTAGGCTTTGGGGGATACTGGGAAACGAACTGGCCAGAGAGCCAGTGGTCTTGCCTGTCATCTCTACATGTGGGCATTTATTTTCCTGTGTATAAACTAAAAGACTCAGACATACTTTCCTGATACTCTGGGTCAGACTGTTGTATCTAGACTCACTTTACTGCTTGGAGCACTAGAAATTTTAACTTGTCAGAATAAAGATCATATAATTTCTCAAGAAAAGGAGGTGGGATTTTGTCTTACCTGGATCCATGGGGAACTCAGAATCTGCACATTTTCATTTACTTTCCTCATAAACTTTAGAAAATGCTGATCTTTATAATTAAAGCGATTATTGAAAATAATGGAGCAGATCACATTGCAGGGAGCACAGCCCAGGAGAAAAGTAGGATCACAGGGTGAGGCTGAAGAAGTGGAAACATTAAAAATTAATATTAAAGTATACATACAAATGTATTTCTCTTTGAAATAACAGGGAAAGGTAATTGTAGAAAAGCTAATCAATATCTGTCTATGAATTCCTTTGATATGAAAAATATTCACCACGCTAAAAATCATTCACTTTTACCTTAAACTCGAATTGACTTTTACCTGGTAGCCAGTTTAATAATGGTTTTCCTAATGCTCCAATCAATTCCACTGCCTTTTTAAGCCATCCTAACCCAAAGTGACACTTAGAAAACATTTTAAAAGATCACTTAAAAACACTTGTTTATTCAATTTCAGTGCAGAATCATATTTGTCATCAAACCTGTAGATAATTCGGAATTATATAAAAAGGAAAAGAAGTTAGGGACATTGATTTTATATCACTGAAAGATTCATGTGTAAAAACTGCAGAGTTAAAGACTAATAGATAGTAACTGTACAAATTTGTATATTTGTGGGAAAAATGGATATAAGCAGAAAACCTTCATATTTTAAGAAGAAGAAAGGCAAACATACATAAACAATTTCTCAATAAAGGTGAGAAATTTTTATTTTAAAGTAAATTCAAGGTGACACAAAGGTTAAATTTATAAATGTAATCTGTTTATTTCTTCATTAGAAAGAGCGTAAGAGAGAAACACTAAAAGAAAATTTGCCACTTTAGGAAATATAGCCCATCATCTTTAAATGCCTCAAAATTTAATCTATTTGGCAATACTGCCCCCCTGTGAACTTCTGGAACATTTCTCTGAATCATATAGCCACCAGCATAATATATTTTAGTAAATTTGAATGCTGGACATCACTTTAGTCAATGCTGCAATTTTATAGGTAAAGAAATTAACATATGACAAGATTTTCATTTTTTTTAGGAATCTATAAAAATGAAATGACAATTAGGTGATCAGTACATATCATTTGTTAAGAAAAAAAAGTATCCAAACTCACAACTATATTTTTAGTTACAGTTTACTTGATAAAACAGGTAAGTTTTAGGGATGGGGTTGTGGCTGAGTAGTAGAGCACTTGCCTAGCACATGTGAGGCACTGGGTTCGATCCTCAGCAACACAAAGAGGTAAATTAAATAAAGTTATTGTGTCCATCTACAACTAAAAATATCCCCCCCAAAAAAACAGGTAAATTTTATGTTTAATTAATTTACTTGATAAAAAAAATTAACCAAGGAAGCAAAAGACATCTACAATGATAATTACAAAACACTGATGAAAGTAATTGAAGATGATACCAAAAAATGAAGACGCCTCCCATGCTCAGAAACTGGAAGATTAACATTGTTAAAAGGGTCATGCTATCCAAATCAATTTGCAGGCTTAATTCAATTCCCATGAGATAATACCAAAGATATTCTTCACAGAACTAGAAAAAAACATACCTAAAATCCATGTAGAAGTACAAAAAGAAAAATCTAAATAGGTCAAGACAATGTTGAGCAAAGGGGAAAAGCTGGAGGCAGAAGGATTCCTGATTTCAAGCCAAACTACAGAGCCACAGTAAGCAAAAGAGCATGGCACTGGCATAAAAACAGACAAAAAGAACAATGGGAGAGAATGGAGATCTTGGGGCGATGGGGGATGTAGGAGCGGGGAACCAAGCATCCACAGTCCACTGATTCTCAACAAAGTTCCAAAACTTATGGTGGAGAAAAAAGAGCCTCTTCAATAAATGGAGCATGAAGAAGATTCCAACTTGACCCTCATTTCTCACCTGTACAAAATTCAACTCAAAATGGCTCAGAGACCTTCCTGTAAGAACTGAATCCCTAAATGAACTAGATGAAAACATAGGGGAAACACCTCAAGATGGATACAAGTTATGGTTTTTTTCTATAAGGCCCTAAAAGCAAAAACAGGCAAGTAGATTACTTCAAAATGAAAAGCTCATACACAACAGTCAATAGAGTGAAGAGATAGTCTACAGAATGAGAGATAATATTTGCCACTTGTGTCAAAAAGGATTAAAATCTACAATACCTAAGGAACAAAAAACAACAAATCCTAAGTAATACAGTTAAAAATGGGCAAATGATCTTAATAGGCACTTCTCAAAAGAAGAAATAAAACTGAGCAATAAATATATTTTTAAATGCCATTTTAATGAACCATTAGGCAAATGTAAATCAAAACTACCATAAGGAATTATTTTGCCACAATTAGAATGGCTGTTGTCAAAACACAAAAACAAAAATAAGAAACCCAAATTACCACCACCAACAACAACAAATAACAAATTTTGGAGAGGTATGCAGAAGAAGGACACCCTATGCCTCTTGGTGGGAATGTACATTAGGACACTCATGCTAAGGAAAACAGGATACAATTTTCTCAAAAATAAAGACATCTTCCATATGATTCAGGTGTCCTGCTTCTGATACCCAGATGAAAGAAATGAAATCAATATACAACATAGATTCCTGCAATGTTCAGGATAACTATGACACTATTCATAATAATTAAGATATCATATTAAATCATGTGCTTATCCACAGAATAGTGGATAAAGATGCTCTGTTACATACACAATGTATTTATATCGATCATAAAGAAGAATGAAATCTTGACATTTTAATGCAAGAGAGACAGAAGAGGTCAGAAACATTAAAGTATTGCAAGGTCTCTCTCATGTGTGGAAGCTAAAATGAATGTGAACCTGAAGGTAAAATTGCGATTACTGCAAATGGGGAACAGTGTGCACTGGCAGTGAGGAGGATACAGAGATGGAGAGGATGGCTTTTAACTGTACATGCTGTACGCTTGTGTATGAGTACCATAGGGACCTCATTAATATGGACTGATTAAATGTCAGTAAAAGATACAATAGGATAATTTAGAAATAAACAAATGAAAAACTGATGCAAAGAAAGCATAGAGCATTGGGTAAAAGCAAAGCTTTCGAGTTCTCTTCTCCTCCACCAGGCTCTGTAAATATTCTAGGGTTCTAAGCTCTCATAACAAACGTTTACATTATCTATGGAGTTAGAGGGTAATTAGGGAAGCCAGGGAGTTTCTAGGTGTGTGTCATTCATTGGTAACGTCTGATTCTTAGTCTTTCCCTTTTTTTTTTTTTTTTTTTTTTTGTTAATTTGGAAGACAAGTTTTAAAACAGAGCAATCTGGATGCAAGATGAAAATCAAAGACACTGAAAAAAAACATCTTGGGTCAGTAGAGATAAGTGATTCCCATAAGAATATTTGACACTTTCCAGGAGATATGCAAATCAATGAAAAACCATAGATTAGTATAGTTACTAGGTACTGTCCTGGGAAGAAACCTTGAGAGAAGACAGATAACAAAAGTGACTGGACAACCCCAGTCCAATTAAGTGAAAGTACACATCACTTGCTTCAGCTCTGCAGAGTCCAAGGTGGATATTTCCATGGTGTCCAGTAGACAATGGTGAAGGCCATGGAGTGGGAAACTCACAAATGTGCCACGGGGAAACCCTGCTCTTTAACTCTTGAAGAAAAAGGAACTCTACACCTTGTGTCTTCATGATGCAATGATTTGAAAACAGAAATAAAACTTGTCAGCATAGGATTATATTATCTTTTACACCCACCATGCATACCCAGTCATGCCTGTGATTGGGCAGCACAGATACACAAACTTTGGCTCTCTGCTTTGAATCATACCTCCTCCATATAAGGACTAAAAGGACCCATAATTAAAGATCTGGCTGTTGCTGAAATGCAGTCACTAGACACAGAAAAGAGCAGTCTGTTAAGGACAATGATATAATGAATCACTCACACTCGGTTTTCCTCAACTCCTCCATAAGGCAACGAGCTTCCTCTTGAACTCGGTTCTCAATGCTCTTCTTCCCCATCCCAAAATTCCGCAGAGTCATGACTGAGAAGCGCCTCATCACTTTCCATCTGCTTCCAGTACTAAAAATGATTCCTAAATGAGGGAGAGCAGAATCTAGGAGGATATCCCAGGCAACGTACTGAAAGTTGATGAGTGAGCCACAGAGATGGTCAAGCTCAATCTGGCTTTCTCTTTTTCATTCTTCTCCTCCCCATGACCATTGCTCACCCACCTCACATACATGCACACTTACCAAGTCCTTTAGTAACTCTATCACCCACAGGGAAACTGCCTCTTCCAGAAAATACTTCCCCATGATCAATCAGGGCTTCCTTCACAGCTTCATATCCATGCAACACCACAGTGGGTCTCAAACCCAAATACACAGTGAACACAGGGCCATAGACTTTTGACAACTAGAAATAGAAAAGAAAATGCAAACATTAGCTGAAGAACATCAGCATTTGAACTACATGTTTGGGATGATTCAGACTGTTACAGATTATTCTTATATTTGTTATACTTTATTGTGCCATATTTGTTATACTTTATTGTGCCACAAGAATCTTCAAATATTTCTGAATTTTGTTCACAAATATGATGTCAACTATGGCTGTCATTATGGATGGTCTATGATCTGCCATGCCTGACTCAGACAATTGATATCTACACTATAATTAATCTTCACATCAATGCATTTAGGGAAATTATGTGTCCTATTTTACATGAAAGGAAATTAAGTCAGACATTTGCAGTGCACCATAACTAATAAACTTAAGACTCAAATTTGAATCTTGTTCAATTTCTGAAGTTTGAACAATTCGTCAGTCCCCATTGCTTATCCACTTTGGCACCAAAATGCAGCTGATTTCTTCTGGGTCATTAGCAGTGCTTGTATTATAGAGATTTTGATTGAGTAAGCCCATGATAATTATGTATTGGAAGTCTATATTTTAAAAAGTGCCCCCAGATGATCTTAACACTCATAGGTTGAGGCCACAGGTATCACTAACACAGCAAGAGAGTGAGTACCAGGGAGGCAGCATCAGGCCATCCAGCATAGCAATTTCTCTCACCCAGCAGCAATTCATAGAGTACAGACTGCAGCTTTGTGCAAAATGCACAAGGATTCTGTTGCTATCCAGTGGACCATGATTGCTTAATTCATTCCTTCTTTCCCTTATGCTATTTCTCAACCCATGGTTTTCTTTTTATTAATGGCTTTATTGGGGGTACCATTGAAAAATAAAAGGTATGTATATTTAGAGTGTAAAATGTGGTATTTTGATTTATATAGACCTTGCAAATTGATCACCACAGCCAAGTTAATTAATATATGTATCAGCTAAGTGTTAACATTTTCATATGTGTGTGATGAAAACACATTAGTAAACTTCAGGTATAAAATGCATTATTATTTACTATAGTCACCACTATGTGAATAAGCCTTAGGTCTCCAGTGCTTATTCACATAGTAACTGAAGGTTTGTGAAGCCAGATTTAGACAGGCAGTCAGTTTAAACAGGTCAGATCAAGGAGACCAATTTGAGTGAGTCCAGGAGGTTGGAGACTGTCCCCTGAGAGACTGAAATGGCTTCAGAGTCTTTCCAACACCCTATCAAAGATAACCTGCCTCTGCTCCAATCTGTTGCTAGGGTAACCTCTCCCAAGAACTTTCACTCCCTATAGGGGGGAGTCATAGAGTTGTTAATTAATGTGTCCTGGGCTGCTCCATCCAGTCCTTCCCTGTCCATCTACTTCTCACCTTTTGCCATCCCACTGAGCATCCCCCCCCCCCCCCCCCCCGCCCCCGCCTAGTCACATACACAAGAAGGAGAGATAAGGGGAAGAGAGCCGGAGAACAAAGGAAGCCCAGGACATATAAAAAGGCAAAACACCCCTCACTTCTTGGGAGACCAGGATACCAGCTATGGCCCCCTTCTCCCTCCCAGAAGAAGTCTGTTACTTCTTTTTAAATAAACCCTGCTTTATGTGCTTGCCTCTAATGTTATACTTCAACATATGGGGGAGCAGAACTGGTCACCGATAACCGGCAGTATCATTTGTACCCTTGAACAAACATCTCGCCTTTTCTCTCACATCCCAGCCCCCAATAACCACCATTCTACACTTACTCTGAGTTTTAGGTGCATACTTTGTTTTCTAAGACTCCACATGTAAGTGAAATCATGTAATGAAGATCTTTCTGTGTGGCTACTTCCCTCCTCATAAAGTTCTTCAGGTTCATTCCATGTTGGGGTAAGTAGCACCACTTCCACTACAGGAATTTACAATTTGTCAGCACTCCTCAGTGGATCCTACACTACACTAGAAGAATGGACGCTGAGAGCTACTACCACAAATGAGCTCCTAGCCACATTGTCTGGCAGTTGGATAAGTGAGGAATGCAAAGATGTTTGGGTTAACAATGCCCAAACCTTGACTCTGATGCCCTTGTCCAGTGTCCAGTGAGAGCAACTGAACCAAAGTCACTCATGTGAAGTTGGGGTGACACAAAATACCATGCAGACACGGAATACCTTTTTATAAGCTTCAGGATGGCTTACCCAGCTCCTGGCCTCAGGGTCCCACAGAGGGGCAAGAGAAAGTCACGAGAGGCTGAAGAGAGAGAGAGAGACAGAGACAGAGAGAGAGAGAGAGAGAGAGAGCTATTCTGGAGCTGGTTTTTCTTGGGGGACACTGTTTCTTAGAACATTCTATCCAAAAAAAGGTAAGGGGTAGGATTACAAAGGAATAGGTAAGTGTAACTCAACCCCACCCACCGGGTAATACCTACTCCTAGGGCCAGGCCTCATTATCTGAACGGACATAAAGCCCAAGTTATTGCAGGAAGCAATAATTGTTTGGTATCTCTTACTCAGGACTTAAGGGCATGTATTTCCAGAGTAGCTCCTGACACTTGACCCCTGGGTTACAAAGCAAAAAATAAATATAAAAAATAAAAATCCATCCCTACCAACAATTTAGACCCTCAGTGGAAAAAGGCCTTTTACTTCTCATTAATATTTTCCCTTTTTGCCCCTCCATGTTCACCCCATTTAAAATATATTGTTTGTTTTATGTTTTAAAATTCAAGAACTCAAAAAAACTTAATAACCCAATCAGCAAATGAGCAAAAAACTGACTGGCTACTTCACAGAAGAAATACGAATGCTCAACAAATATATGAAAAAATGTTCAACAGCTCCAGCAATTAGAGAAATGCAGATTAAAACTATACTGATATTCCATTTCTCTCCAGTCAGAATGGCAAATAATTAGAATACAAGTAACAATAAATGTTGGTGAGGATGTGGAGGAAAAGGTTCACTCTTACATTGCTGGTGATACTACAAATTGGTGCATCCACTCTGGAAAGAAGTTTTCTTTAGAAAACCTGGAATGGAACCACCATTTAACTCAGTTATCACACTCCTCAGTTTATCCCCAAAGCACTTAAAATCAGCATACTACATTGACACAGCCATATCAATACGTAGAGCAGCTCAACTCACAATAGTTAACCTATGGAACCAACCTAGGTGTCCTTCAACAGATCACTGAGTAAACAAACTGTGGTTTATATACACAATGATTCAAATATTACTCAGTCATAAAGATAAACGACATTGTGGCATTTGCCAGTAAATGGATGGAACTAAAAAATATCATGCTATGTGATATTTCACAAAGGCCGAATGTTCTCTCTGATATGTGGATGCTAACCCACAACAAGGAAGGGTAGAGAGAGGAAGTATAGAAGTTCGATGGATTGGACAAAGGGGAATGAAGGGAAGGGAGGATGGATGGGAATAGAAAGGAGAGTAGAATGAACCAGACATAACTTTCCTTCGCTCATAAACGAATACACAACCCATGTAGCTCTACATAAAGTATAACCTCAAGAATGGGATCCAAGTCCAAATACACTCTACTCTCATGTATATTTAAAATAACAAATAAAAAACTTTAATTTTTTTTTTTTTTTTTTGGAAATATCATTTGTTGGGCCCATGAGTTGAAACTCTCAGGGTTCAGCACACTGAATCCGGAAGTTGTGATTAGCACACTAACCACACTCAGCCCCATCACCATGGAAACCTGGCCTCCCTCAGGTGCACTCAGGTGCACAACATGTCCTTTTCCTTCTGCTTTTCTGCCAGTGACCTATTAGCCCATTAGTCACTGCTTGTAAGCACTGCTAGCTTACTGGATCATTATGACCCTCACATAAATTCGCCCAGGAACAGGCTATGCACAAAAGCTTGCCTATGCAATAATAAAGTGGATCAAGTTATCTGAAACTGTTCCCCAGAGGTCTCTCCTTGACTCCACAGCCACACCTTCCTCAGCTCTTTGATGAGCTACGGCTGGACCAACTGAGCCCACAATCATTTTATTGTATTTTATTATTTTTTACTTCTTTCCATTGTGCAAGATTTCTGTGTGTGTTTGTGTGTGCATGTGTGTGTACTCACTGCAAGAATAGGTTCAATATTTGTATATATTCATATCAGTTTGCTTTCACCTGCCCCTGTTTATTATTTACCACTGGTTTCACACAGGAGGGATGTATGCATCCATGGTTTTGAATTGTTTTGCTCTCACATTTGCTTGTTTGCTGTACCTTGGTTTTTAGCCCTCTTGATGGCCCTTCTTCGCTCTCTTCTCCCAATAACACTCAAATTTTCCTGTTCCTCTTCCTCTTTCATTTGTAAACAACTTACGGTTAATTTTTTATTTCTCTTTCTTTAGAGTCTACATTTGTGATCTATCTTCTGCCTCTCCTGCCTTCACTCTTGAAAACATTTTAAACATTCTCCTCCCTCTCTATCCTATTTTCTCTTCACATGAGAAAATGTAATTTCATTAAGTATATAATTATACGTTTTATGCCATTTGTCCCTCATTCATGTTCTTATGATTATTAACACAACGGACAAAGTAGTAGACCTCTGCTGTGTAATAGTGATCTCATTCACATTTTTCTTTTTATTTTTGATCCCATCATTTCTCTGTAGGTGGTGATTAGTTTTACCAATGTCAAAATAGGTGCTGGACATTTGTCTCAAGGCTGTACATCTGTTGATAACAATAGTGCTGCTCCTGGCTCACCACCTCCTCTAAGTGGGATCAGAAAGTGAGTGGGTCACTTCAGCTTCACAGAGTAGACATCCTGCTCCCAAGCCACACATACAACTCAGCTGAGTAACAAAGAATCTCACCCCACACGTGTTCTAGCCCCACCTCAGCATCAACATTACTTCAACATATAGAATTAAGGAAACGAAACGTCAAACCTACAACCAGGCCCCCAGGAGGATCAACCAGACAGCAAGATCAGGTCACACCCCTGGACCTACTCATATATCAAAAACAGAGACAGGTCCCAAAACAAAGGAGGTAACTACACCCCAAAGGTGTACATGTTCCCATAGGTGATAATGTCCATTTCATTTCACAATCTTCCCCGCCACATACAAACACCCTCCCTTCCTCTCCCTCCCATCTGCTCAATCCAAAATTCCTCCCTTCTTCTCTTGCCTGCCCCCACCATTATGGATCAGCATCCACTTATCAGAGAAAACATTTGGCCTTTGGTTATTCTGGGATTGGCTTACTTTACTTAGCATGCTATTCTCCAACTCTATTTACCCATAAATGCCATCATTTTATTCTTCTTTAAGGCCGGGTAACATTCCATTTTGTACACTCAGAGAAATGAAAAGTTGGGCTCTATTTGTGTAAAAACTAAAATTAAATTAATTTTTAAAAAGCATATATGTATAAAAGAGAAAGGGGAAGCTATCTCCACTGAAGTGCAAGTCCAAAACCTCTGACAACTTGATGAAACAGACAAAATATCTTCTTCCCAAATTTACAATCCCCCTCCAAAGGGTTCCACAGATAAGAAAGTGTGTGAAATTCTAGAGAATAATGATACAAAACTGATTATTAAAATGTTTAGTAAACTAGAGGAAGACCTAAGGAATGAATTAAGAGAGAAAACTAAGGGGTTGAAAGACCATTTCAATAAAGAAATAGAGATATTGAAAAGAAGCTAGTCAGAACTCCTGGAAATGAGAGACACGCTTAAATGAATAAAAATTCACTCAAAAGCATCATGAACAAATTAAAATGTGCAGAAAATAGAAAATCACAGCAAATGACTATGAAACAATGAAGGGCAAGGGTTCTTCAGACTTTTGACATTAATAGTGCCTTCCAAATATTAAATGTAAGCATTTCTTTTAACCCTGATGCATTGTTTCATTACACTGCCTCTATCAGTGAAAAATATAAAAACAATGGAAACATTAATACCCAAAGAGAGTATTTTCTGCACAACAATCTCTTTTAATAATTTGCCTTGTGCATATATTTAATTAAAAATTAAGCATTAATTTATTTATCCTTTACAAGCCACTGGAGAAGCATCAACATACTTACATTGGTTAAGGATTTGTTGATGTTTTTAGTATCTATCTGCAGGATATTCCCAAGAATTGGGAGAGGCATGGGTCCTGGTGGCAGTTTCCCTCTCCCAGACCTCTGTCTCCATAATGAGAGGAGAAGCAAACAGGAGAGACACAGCACCAAGGCTACAACTGGATCCATTGAAGCCTTGTCCTTTTACTGAGACAGCTATGAGCTTACAATCAAAGTAAAGTTTTTATAGTGCTCCCTATTAATCAGCAAGTGTTCTATTGACATAAAGTGCTGAGCCAATGAATTAGGTAAGTTCTAATTCCCTCTAAGTGTACACTGGTCACCTGATATGGGTTGAAACAAACTGTTTACTCTTGTCTTCTTTCAAAAATTCTATGACAGCCTAGTTCTGCCACTCTGGAACAGATCACAGGAATAGGCATTTTAAAAACAGGCAAGAAAATAAACACACAATCACACAGTGCCTGGTAGTTCCAATGTGCCGCTATGATTAAGAAAAGAGTATTTGATACAAAACACTGCTCAACATGCTGGATTCTCAGACTAATTGACTGTTTAGAAATTCATGACTTGGGGGAAATAAGGGTATCTCTGACTTCTATATAAAAATATTGAACATGAAATATTTCATCAAACAATAAGATAATTTGGCTTTGAAAATCAAGTCTTTTTAGTATTTTTAAATGCTGAACTAACATCACAAGTGCCTAAGCATAAACTAGGTAATACAACTTAAACATTTTGAAATACCAAACATACATCATCATGTAACTAAGTAAATGTACATAGCATTTGCTATTTAACACCCCAAACCCCTAAATCCTGGGGAGCACAGGGCAGAGATTTTTTTTTTTTACAAATGAGGAAATAGAGACTCTGTGAACGTGGGGACCTTCATTCACACACTTCACAGGGATCAAAACTGGAATTTGAATGAGCTCCAATGCCTAGAATGGTGAGCTATGGCTTTCATCAGAGCTGCCTCCAAAGTCACTCTAGAAAAGTAAAGCAAACACCTCTCTGACTCTGTTCATAGACCAACAAGCTTCCCCTCAAATCAGTACCCATTATTTCACTTCAAGGAAAACTGGGTCATAGATTCTACAAAAGGAAGAGGCACAGAAGGGCTTCTCCCCTCGCTGTCAATACAGAGGTGAAACTTAATCAGCAGAACCAAGGAAGACACAATCTCAGAGAAATGAAGGGAGAGGCTTGAGAAACTATGGCTCCACCAATCTCTCACCTCTTCCAGATGGGACTGCTTCTGTTGCTTGTGTTCTTGTGGATTTAAGAATCCGCAAGACTTGGATTCTTAAAAAAAAAAAAAAAAAAAAAAGATTTTGTACTGAATCTTTGGTGATATTTCACCTTGCTATGTCACCAATACCCTCTTACTAATCATAAATTAAGGTACTAGGCCAGTGGATCTCTGAAATTACTTCTGTCTCTGTTTGCAATTCTGTTTATAAATTTTAACATGCATTAATTCTACATATTAGCCTGATTGAGGTAATATCTCATTAAATCAACTTCCCTTTATTGCTCTTATTCCTTCCCACTATAACCCAGCCTTTAGTAATAATTACTGTAAATTCAAATTGACCCTTTTTTAGATTCAATATATCATGGAACTTGTTTTTCTGTGTCTGGCTTATTTCACTTAAAATAATGGCTTGCAGTTCCATCCATTTTGCTGTGATCATGGGATTTCACTCTTCTTTAATGATGAGTAGTATCCCATTGTGTACATATACCACATTGTCTCTATCCACTCACTTGTTTATGGCTACCTAAATTGATTCATCCTAGCTATTGTGAATAGTGCCACAATAAACATGAACATGCAGGCATTTCTTCGGTATGCTAATATCATTTCCTCCGGCTACATATGTTCAGAGAAGTGGTACCCATTGTTACCCTTTGATTATGAGGTGTTCTTCCTCTAAAAGATCCTAGATGGCAAATATTTTATCCCAGCCTGTAGGCTGACTCTTCACTCTACTGATTATTTACTCTGTTATGTAGGATCATTTTAATTTTATGTAATACATTTGTGCATTTTTGCTTTTGTTTTCTGTGCTTTGGGATCATATGCAAAAAAAAAAATCCCTTTATCAATTTCATGCAAAATTTCCCCTATATCTTCTTCCAGCAGTTTTAGAGCTTCCTGCCTTACTTTTATGTCCTTGACACAAAACACTTTGAGTTGATTCTGTGCAGATGAGAGATAGAGTCAACTTTCAATCTTTTACATGTGGCTTTATAATTATCACAACTGTACTAAAAAGGGTGACCTTCTCCAATATATGGTTTTGGCTTTTTTTTTTCAGAACCATTTTCCACAGATGCATGAGTTCACTTCTGGGACCTTTATGTTTTTCCGTCGGATAATGTGTCTGTTTTTATGCCAGCACCATGCTACTGTGCTCACTCTGCCTCTGTCATGTACTCTGCCTCTGTCCTGTGTCTGGAAACTAGGAATCAGGATGCCTTCAGTTTTGTTCTTTTTGTTCAAAATGATATTGGCTCTTTGGGGCTTTTTGTATGCTTCCTTATAAATTTTTGGACTATTTTTTCCATTCACACAAAGAATTCCATTGGTCTTTTCATGAGGATCATATTTGATCTTTAAATTTATTTGAATTTTATAACCCTACAAACAGTACTAATTTTGTCCAGTGCATGAAAATGAGACAGGGGTCTTTACATTTTTGCATGTGTATGTGTGTGTGTGTGTGTGTGTCTTTAATTTCTTTCTTTTAATTTTTGTAAAGATGTGCAGATCTTTCACTTCCTTGGTCAAATTCTTTTCTAGATATTTAATTTTTGTTGTAGGTTTTATGAATGGTATTCCTTTCATGATTTTTTCTCATAACTTACATTATTGGTTACAAAAATTCTACTGATCTTAATATTGAATTGTATCCTGCAAATTTTTTAATCAATTCTAGTCACTTTTTGGAGGAGTCTTTAAATTTTTCTATTTTTAGATTCATATGATCTGCAAACATGGAAAATTTGAAGTCTCTCCTTCCTGCTTACAGCTTTTATTTCTCTCTCTAGTTTATTGCTCTGGCTAAAACTTCTACTTCTATATTTAATAAGAGCAGTGAGAGTGGATTCCTTTGTCTTGTTCTAGATTTAGGGGAAATGCTTTATGGTTTTCCCCATTTATTTTCATGTGGAATGTGTTTTTGCCATATCTTGTCTTAATTATGTTAAGGTACAATCCTTCAATAGCGATTTTATTCAGGATTTTTTTTATTTTGTTTGTTTTGTTTAAGTTGTTGATAGATCTTATTTTATTCATTTATATGTGGTGCTGAGAATCGAACCTAGTACCTCACACACGCCAGGCAAGTGTGCTACCACTGAGTCACAGCCACAGCACCTGTTCAGAGTTTTTATCATGCAGCGATGTTGAATTTTGTGAAATATATTTTATCCTTCATTGTTTTGATGTGATTATTACATTTATTGATTTGTCTATGTGAAGCCATCTATGCATCCTTTGGAAAAAATCCATCTTCATCATGGTGAATGATCTTTTGGAATAGTGTTGGATTTTATTTGCTAGTATAGTTTGATAATTTTTCCTATATATCACAGATATAGTTTATTTGCTGTGTTCTTCTGTGGTTTTTGTACCAAAATGATGCTGGACTTGAAGAATATGTTTGAGTTTCCTCTCTTACAATTGTTTGGAATTTTTTACTAAACACAATGTTGTTAGTTCTGTGAGTTTAGTAGAACTTAGCAATGAAGCCATTCTATGTTGGACCTTTATTTGTTGAGAAATATTTGATTACAGGTTCAATTTCACTATCCATTGGAGTATGTTTGTGTTTTTATGCCTTCATATATATCAATTTGTGTAGTTTATGTGTCCATAAACTTATCTATTTCTTCTAAGTTTCCCCTATTTTAAGACATAGTCTCTCGAAAATTTTCTAATATTCTATTTTACTTTTGTAGTATCAGTTGTAATATGTCTTGTATTATTTATGATTTTACTTATTTTTTCCTTTCTTTTTTCCTTAATCAAGCTAAAGATTTGTTGAGTTTGTCCATCTTTTCAAAAACTTTGTTTCATTGAGTTTTCTTATTTCATCTTTTTAAGATCTGCTATTTGTTATTTTATTTATTCTATTAGTTTTAGTTCTCTTTACTACATCCTTGAGATGCATCTCTAGGTTATTTGTTTGATTCTTTAATCTTTTGATGCAGGCAATTATTGCTAATCCTCCTTAGTGTTACACTTTCATTATCCCATAACTTTTGATTTGTTATGTGATTCTTTTTTTTTCTATAAAAAGAGAAAAGTTCAGGCAAATCCTCTGTAGGAGGAAAGTTGAAACACACTCATCTCAATAGAATAAAATTCATGATGCAAAGAGATCAATCAGATGTTCTTTAATTTAAATAAGCCAGTGTGTTTCTCTCAGCAATTAGAGTCTGGTTGGTTTGGACTTCATATCTCTGTTGAGTCAGAAACAAGTTAGTTTCTGCGTGCTCTGAAAAAAAAAAAAAGAGTTCATTGTGTCCTGGGTTTGTGCAAATTCTAAAGAATAAAAATCAAATTTTGTGACCCCCATTTTAACCAGTATGATGTTGGTCTTCTAGAATGAGTTTGAAACAGAGTAGACTCCCTATCAATTGTTTGACCAAAAAGAAAAAAGAAACACACGTGATTATTTATTCTGTAGAGTTTGATAGAATTCAATAGTCAAGTTATTCTATCCTGAACTTTTATTTGTTGGGAAATATTTATTTCTTCAATCTCACTGCCAATTATTGGTCTGTTTGTGGATTTCATGGCTCATAGTTCAATCTGGTTAGGTAATATGTGTTCAGAAATTTAACCATTTCTATTGCGTTTTCCCTTTATCATCTTATGATTTTTTATAATGAGCTTTCTATTTTGTGATATAAATCATAATGTATGTTTTTCATCTACGATTTGATTTGTTCATATCTTCTCTCTTTATTCTTAGTCTGGCTAAGTGTTTGTTGATTTTATCGTTAAAATTTTTCATTGACCTTTTTGGAATTTGTAAACCCCTACTTCATTTATATCTACTCTGATCTTTGCTATTTCTTTACTTCTATTAATTTTGGGTGGGTTTAGTGTCCTCTTGCTTTACTGTATCCCTCAGATGCATCATTAAGTTATATATTTGAAACTGATTTCTTTATGTAGACATTCATTGC